CCCCATTAAAAATATAGCCCTCCCGCCCCTAATAATTGAAAAATTACATTTTTAACCTTTTAAAATCTATAAATAGCCCCTTCTTCTTCATTTTTTTCTCATAATTCACTCTCTTACTACTCTAATTCTCTCTGAAGTCTCAATTCTCTCTTGATATTGTAGTTCTTAAATTCTCATATCTCAAATTGTCAATTATTTATTATTTCAAGTTTCATCAATTATTTAGTTTAGCCATTACAAAATTATTATTATCAAGTATTCAAGTAAAGTGTGGTATCAAGTATCAAGTATCTACTATCAAGTTTCGGTCTATCAATTAAAGTTTTATTTTTGATATCAAAAATTCAAAATTAGTGTGGCATCCGGAATCCCATCTCTTTCTCTTATTTGGTGTACACTTATTTTATTATTTAGAATTATTAATTTAATTTACATAATGGATTTACTTAGAGCGGCCAAAAAAGCGTGCACTAGTAGAGGTGGTAGTAAGAAAACTTCCAAAAGAACAAGAGGTGGTGTTGGTAATTTGAAGTATTAAAAATATAAAATGAAAGCGTTCGGAGTTTGTTCCTTACATATTGCCTATTGGTCTTATTAAATAATTTTTTGTAGCCACTTACTTTCTAATTTTAATTTTATAATTTTAAAATACAAATTTTAAATTTAAAACTTTAAACTTTAAACTTCAAAGTTTAATTCTAAGCTTTAAAAGTTTGCAAATACTTAAGTATTAATAACATTGAATAAGAAAAATAAAATTAAAATTAAAAAAAAAAATACAGTAACCCGGCCCGCCCGAACCCGAACGGACCCTAAAAACCCAAAATTTTCCAACCCGTTACCCCAGCCCGCTAAACAACCCGCCCGCTAATCAAACGGGTTAGAATTTTTCTCGTTCAACCTATCACAGCCCGTCCGATAAACAGGTTTAGTGGAGACATTGGGGAGTCGGATGCCATGTTAGGCGCATACATTTTGTAGGGAATGCTTATCCAATCACACTAGCCCAGTAGTCCTTCCATCTTTTTCTTCTTTTATTATTCAGTCACTCTATCCAGTTATTATTTGGTGAGTCAGCAAAGATCTTTCCTTGTCAATATTTTTTTTTAAATAATGTCAGATCTGCTTATCCATTCATCAATGAGGAAGATGTCGGTATAGTCGTTGCTGCCTCACTAATCAATAACACTATATTCTCTCTTTTTTAAATAATTGTAGAGTACTACACTCACACGTTTTTATAACAGTATCCTTATATAATAATACTTTATTATAAAAGTTAAGTTTTATCGAAATTAATTTTTATGTTATGTTATAATATATATTGTTTATAACAGCACTTCGTTATAAAATTTAAAAATATTCGGAACAAACGATGCTATTCTAGAGAAGTTTGACTGTGTATAGACAATTTACCTATGAGGATCCGAATCATAATATTAGTTAAATGAGTATTAAGAAGTTTTTTGCTTTGTTTAAGCGACTGTACATAGATTACTGCTTTGATTGAATATTAAATCGTTTTTTTTTACGATCAGATTTCTCAATAATAAAATGCATTTTTATATAACAGTCATTCACTACAAAAGTTAAATTATTCTCGATATCGATTTTTTAAGTTGTTATTTTCTCTATAACAATATTTTTCATATAACAACAACAACGATATTTATAGCATAACACTCTTTGTACAATTATCCCTGTGTAATAGCCATATAGAATCTTTAAGATTACTAATAATAATTTTAAAAGGTGAAATAGCTTCCTGGCCACTTAAACTTGTCGGATTTTTTAAAGCCGATACATAAACTTATAACTTTCACATTTGAACACTCGAACTAGTTTTTTCCATAACTAATAAACACATTTGACCATTAACCATGCCCATGTGGCGTCAGTTGGTCCTAATTAGCAGCCCGCGTGAAGAACACGACGCACAGGAGCGTGAAAACCCCCTTCCCATTGCCCAACAGTACAAAATACCCCCTTCCTCCATTTTTAAAAATCTGAAGCTCCATTTTCAATTTTTTATTTTATTTTTCAGACCGTGAAAATGGTGGAAAGTTGTATATTTTGTCATTGTAGAGTTGAAGCTAAGTTTTGAACTTCCCCATAACTTCCCCTTCCAAGTTCGTTGATTGAAATCCTTCAAAAGCTTTCCGTACTCCTTCTGGATGTTCAAGATGATGGTAACAGTCCTGTGGAGGAACTCGAATGTTCGGATTCTCTCTGAAATTCCAAGCTAGAAAGACAACACACAACGGCATACCGACAGTGATCTTCAAAATAAGAGACTACTATGTTATCATGGCGGCTCAATGTAAGAGGACAATTGTTGGTCGATTTCTGAAGACCCGACCCCGAATTATAGGTCAAGATTCTCTAATAAATTCCCTTTGAAGGGATCTACAAAAATTGGAGTTTATGATAAATTAAATGTGTTTCTCAGCTTCACTAATGATGAAGATTACAATTTTGTTCTATATAAGCGGGTGATTGAAATTGAAGGTCTGCAAATGTGGTTGCAGAAGTGGAATCCATATTTTAAGCCTGAAGAAGACCTACCTACCAATAGATCCTGCCTGAGTTCTGCTGCCCGGATTACCATTTCATATGCATAATTGGTCTTATGTCAAACATATTCCTGAAGAAGTAGGGACTCCATTGGAGCTTGATGTGGCGACCAAAACTATGAACATACCTAGTATGGCGGAGGTAAGCGTGGAAATTGATTTACTCAAACCTTTAATCGCCAATGTTTGGGTTGGAGATGAAGATGATGATTTGCCTCTTAAAGATTCGTTCAGCGCATTGAATATTAAAACATACCCAAATTCTGCAAACATTGTAGGAAATTAGGGCACTATCTTGTTAACTATTGAATCCTTGAAATAAAAAAGCTGGAAGAAAAGAAGGAAGAGGAACGAAAGAGTAACATGGAAAAGGATCAAGCTGAGCCACCTGTGAAACAAAATAATGAAAAGCAGATAGCCATTGTTGATGAAGAAGAACGCTAAAGCAGTCAAAGAGAAGGAGTTGATGCTTGACTTTTCGTGCCCTTACGTGTAAGAC